AAAATAAAATGGATTTTCTTAAAAATACAAAATCTGACTTTAAAAATTATAGAATACCTGTTTACACACGTAGTGAGTTCTAGACCAGCTGGGGCTATAGGGAGACCCTGTCTCAAAAAAAAAAAAAAAAAAAAAAAAGACCAGCTGGGTGTGGTGGTGCATGCCTTTAATCCCAGCACTTGGGAGGCAGAGGCAGGCGGATCTCTGGGAGTTCAAGGCCAGCCTGGTCTACATAGTGAGTGCCAGGCCAGCTGGGGCTATAGGAAGACCCTGTCTCAAAAACACCAAAAAAAAAAAAGAAAGAGAGAGCGCTTGCTCCACACATGAAGACCAGAGTTTGGTCCCAGCACCCATAACAAGCCCAGAAGTTGCAGACTCCTGTAATTCTGTCTCCAAGGGATCTGACATTGTCCTCTGACCTCCAGGTACGCACAACAATATGCCACAGCTCTCACACATACGCATATACTTACACAGACACACACAAATGAATAGAAGTAAATCTTTAAAAAAGAAAAGAACTGGGGCTGGAGAGATGGCTCAGCGTTCTTAACACTGGTTGTTCTTGCAGAAGACCTGGGTTTGAATCCCAGCACCCACATGGCAGCTAACAACTGTCCGTAACTCCAGTTCCAGGGGATCCGACAGCCTCTTCTGACCTCCATGGGCATTGCATGATACGGGTGCACTTACCTACATACAGGCAATACACACATACACATAAAAAAATTTAAAAAAAGAAAAGAACTTCCTTGACAAAGGCAGGCTACTAAAACCCTCATCAAAAGTCCTGCCTTCCTATATTAAACTTCACCCACCCAGGGCTCAGGGACCATTGCAGAAGAGGGGGGCAGAAAGAATGTAAGAGCCAGGGGGGTACATGGCTCTATGGAAATAGAGCCTTACAGACTCTTGGGACCTTACTCATATGAATCTACAGCAGTGGTGTCACATGCACAAGACCCATGCAAAATCAAGCAGACAAAAACCCAGCATAAAACTGGAAATGAGCAAAAATTCAATGAAAAATTTGCAAAATAAAATATTCATAAACTGGAGGAAAAAAAGTCCTCCCTTCCAGTTGTTGGTTAGGGTAGTCCAACAGACTCCCAAAATAGCATAGGCGATTGCCACAGTGTTTGATTACCTCCCAGAACTTGAAGGTAAGTTTCTATTGCTGAAGACAGGACGTACTTTGGACACAGGACTTGAAGCAGTCGAGCTGGAATGGAAGCCTCCTCCCTGAAGGCTGGAAGCCTCCTCCCTGAAGACTAGCTCTCATAGTATCTTCTGATATTATGCAAGCTACTCTGGGAGAAAACCAATCAGTGGTCCAATCCTGATACCAGTAAAGCCTGATAACCACAACAATGACTCACAGCAAACTATCTCTATTGGTGCAGTGGTAGCACTTTTATCTTGAGAGTAATCAACAGCTATCTAATTGGACTTAAGGGCCCCGTCACTGAGGGGAAACTCGTCTGGTACTGTAAATATAGCCAAATACACATGGCTGGGGAGGTCATAGATCCTGGAAAAAAACCTATGTATGTCACATCCCTAGACAGGTGTAATTCTTACTGTATGCTAAATATATATCCTTATATTTAACAAGTATACCTCTCACCACTCATCAAAAAAGTTTCTTTTTGCAATACATGGAGACTATTACAGAGTTCCACAACTGGTCAAACGCAGAGAATAAGTGTCTGTGAGATGCCCAATCCTAAGTGACACATCTACAATGCAGCCTCTACTCCTAAGGCTTAGGAAACAGCAGAACATGGGAGAGAGACTATTAATGCATCTCTCAACTCTCCCTAGTGAGGCTTCCTCATGCATTAAGTGATTGGGATGTATTTTGAGAAATGCATCATTAGATAGTTTTGCCATGGAACATCATAAAGTGTACTTAAGATTAAATCAAGCACAAGAGAAAATGATTCAGTAAATACCAAATATATGGAAAGAATTCAGCATACTGTTTTACAGTAATTTTTTTCTTTTTGTATATTAGTGTTTTGCCTGCATATATTTAAGTCCATTCATGCATTCAATGCCCTGAGAGGCCAGAAAAGGTGTTGGAACCCCTGCAACTGGAATTCAGGATGTTGTTAGGTGCCAGGAACCAAACCTGGGTCTTCTGGGAGAGCAGTCAGTACTCTTAACCACTGAGCTCTCTCCGGCCCTGGCAACAATTTTTTTTTTTTTTTCTCTTGGTCTTTTGGAGACGGTCTCCCTGTAGCCCTAGCTGTCTTGGATTCATTATGGAGACCAGGCTGGCCTCGAACTCACAGAGATCTGCCTGCCTCTGCCTGCTGGGATTAAAGGCGTGCTGCAAAAGGAGTACACTTGAAGAAAAAACAAAAAAGACAAGAAACAAAAAACCACAGACCAGTAACAGTTACCTAAGTACCTAAGTATTATATACTGTAGTATATGTAAAATTAAATATGCTGGTTTGGGTGTGGTGGCACACACCTTTGATCCCAGTACTCTTTTGGGAGGCAGAGGCAGGCGGATCTCTGAGTTCAAGGCCAGCCTGGTCCTCATAGTAAGTTCCAGGCCAGCTGGGGCTACAGGGAGACCATTTCCAAAAAACACAAAAAAGAACCCTAAAGAGGAAATCTGTGAAAGGATAAACAGGGTGACAATTTGTTTCCTGGTTCCCTCTTCTCTTCCTTTCCCACTGGTCCAATGTTCTGTCCTCTGGGGAGTTGACTCATACACACCTCTAAATTTGGCACTCTCAGCCTTTGATGCTTGTTAGGAAGCCAGAGGGCACATCCTCACACGTGGCATTCCATCTGCTTCTGCAATAAAGAAACAGCCTAGCCTAGCTCAATGAACGCAAACAAGTCCAGGTACAGCTTGGACTCCAGCCAGCTCAGGGTGCTAAGCAGGGAACCTTCAGTGATGAGGGCAGTGCAGTTCAAGGGACAACACCTGCAGAAGAGTTTGTGTCCAGTACAGATAAGACCATAAATAGATTTTTATAAAAGCTTGGGGGTGGCATTACAGATCACTGAGGCTACTAGGGAGGTGAGGCAAGGAGGGTCACTGTGAATGCCAGGCTAGTTTGTGCTACAGTGACCAACTGAAACAAGTCAGTGATGGCAGTATATAGTAAGTAATGCTTTCAATCAGGATGACCCTGAGGAAAAACAAAAATGAATTTCTTCATTATAACACATTCTCATAAATGTGGCTCTATTACAACAGTGGACCTTTCCATTACCTTCAGAAGAAACCTTAAATTCCTTGGCTGTTAGTCCCCAATCCCTGTGGTCCTCCTTTATGTCCTAAACTCTGAGAAACCATTAATCCAATTTATACCTCTCTGGACTTGCCTATTGTGGATATTGCATGAAAATGAAATTGCAACATGTAACTGTTTCTGACTTCTTAACATAGTATTTTATAAATTATAGCATATAGCAGTACTTTATTTTTTATTGCTGGTTATCCTTCCAACTGATGGGTCTACTATACTACATTTTGTTTACATACTCATGACTTAATGAACATTTGTGTAGTTTCTACTTTTTTAAAACTCCATATTCTGCCGGGAGTGGTAGTGCACACCTTTAATCCCAGCACTTGGGGGGCAGAGGCAAGGGGATCTCTGTGAGATCAAGGCCAGCCTGGTCTACATAGTGAGTTCCAGGACAGCTGGGGCTACAGGGAGACCTTGTCTCAAAAAAACAAAAAAACTATATTCTTTTTAGAAATATTTTATGTGTATGGGTGTATTGCCTGTATGTATGTAAGTACACCCATGTCATGCAATGCCCTCCAGAAGAGGGTGTCGGATTCCTTGGAACAGTTGTTAGCCACCATGCGGGTGCTGGGAATCAAACCTGGGTCTTCTGAAAGTGCAGCCAGCGCTTTTAACTGCTGAGCCATCTTACCAGCCCCTAGTTTCTACGATTGGGCTATTATAATAATAATGCTGAGCTGGAGCGATGACTCAGTGGTTAAGAGTGCTTGCTGCTCACATCAGGTAGCACACAACTACCTGTAATTCCAGCTCTGGGGATTCTGATGCCTTCTGCAGGTGCTTGCACACACATGGCATATACTTACACAGACATACATGTTCACATAAATTAAAAATAACTTTTTTTGTCTTTTTGATGCAGCATTTCTCTGTAGCTGCAGCTAGCCTGGATTCTCTATTGGAGACCAGGCTGGCCTCAAACTCGCAGAGATCTGCCTGCCTCTGCTTCCTGAGTACTGGGATTAAAGGCATTCGCCACCACGACTGGCTACAATAAATATTTTTTTAAAGAATAATGCTGCCACAAACAATTGCAGATTTTCATTTTATTCCTACCAGCACAATATACATGTTCCAAAATATCCACATCTTTATAGACATGTGCTATTATCAGCCTTTTCTTTAGGGTTTGTTTTTATTTTTGGTCTTTTTTAAGACAGGGTCTCCCTGTAGCCCCCGCTGGCCTGGAACTCATTGTATAGGCCAGGCTGGCCTCAACTGACAGAGATCCTCCTGCCTCTGCCACCCAAGTGCTGGGTTTAAAGGCATGTGCCTTTAATTAAACGTGGCCCTGGCCTTTTCTTTTTTAAAACTATTTTTAAATTATTTTTATTTTACGTGTATGAGTGTATTGCCTGCATGTAGGTAGGTGTACCCATGTTGTGCAGTGCCTGCAAAATGCCAGAAGAGGGCCTCAGATCCCCTGGAACTGGAGTTAGAGATGGTTATTAGCCATCATGTAGGTGCTGGGAATCGAACCCAGGGTCCTCTGCAAGAGCAGCCAGTAAGTACTCTTAACCACTTAGCCATCTCTCCAGCCCCATTATCAGCCTTTTTGATTATAGCCATACTAGTCAAGTGACATTTGTTCATGATGGTTTTGGTTTTTTACTTTTATAAGGTATATACAAGAATTTTTCCCCCAGATTTTCTTTCAATAAGAAATGATATTTAATTTGTGATGGAATCTTTTGTAATTGTTTTTTTATTTTTCTAACAGGCTAAGGAAATTTTAACAAAAGAATCAAACGTACAAGAAGTCCGTTGTCCTGTTACTGTCTGTGGAGATGTGCATGGCCAATTCCATGACCTTATGGAACTCTTTAGAATTGGTGGAAAATCACCAGATACAAACTATCTGTTCATGGGTGACTATGTGGACAGAGGTTATTACTCAGTGGAGACTGTGACTCTTCTTGTAGCATTAAAGGTATGGCTGATGAAATTCAGGGGTGAACATCCAATCAGGCAAAAGGCAAGAATGGCAGCATTGCATGCACATCTGTTTAATTTCATGATCTCTTCATCTTATCATACCCCTTTAAATAATTGGTTTTATATCTTTTAAAGAGAAATAAAAAAATGCATTAAATTTCTACACACTTCTGACAAAGTTCACGTGGGTCTTCCATAACCGAAGGCTTAGAATTACATTTGACTTAATCCTTCATGTTGAATCATTAAACAAGTTTAATTCATGCCTTGAAAAGTCTGTTACTCCTGTGCCTTCCTGTTTTCACTGCTCTACACAACACTTCATGCTTTATTACTTAACTGTGACTAATATTTCTGCTTCTATCTGATTTCCTCCAATCATTTGCATATGCAGCCAGATCAAATCTCCCTCATTTAACTTGTATCTTGTCACTTTCCTGTTCTCAAATTTCACACTGATTCCATACTGCCAGTAAAGTCCAGTTCATTAAACTTTTTGACTGTGTTCTGTAGTCTGTTCTGAATTTATCATCCAGTCATTCACAGAAAAAAATGCTTTGCTTCAAAGAATTTTCTTATCCAGCCAGACATGGTGGCACGTCTTTAGTCCCAGTACTCTGGAGACAGAGGCAGGCAGATCTTGACAGCCTAATCTACATAGCAAGTTCCAGGCTAGCCAGGGCTGCAAGAGTGAGACCTGTCCAAAAAAAAAAAAATAATAAAAAAAAACAACAACTGTCTTATTCATGCTGTAGACTTTCCATAAGTAGTTATATATCTCCTTAATGAGACTAGCCCCTAATCCTTTGCAGTGGTCATATATTATACTTGTATGAACCTGACCAGCTTTGTACTACCAAGTCTAAAGATGAACATTATAATGAATGCTTAGTAGAATAACTATGTATGAAATAAGCATTTGCAACTTTTGATTCGTTTGCAGAATCTGGTGCTTTTTCATCCTTCGCATCCTTCGCATCAGACACATTCCTAACTAAATATAGGTTGAGTATCCCTTATCTGAAATGTTTGAGACAGACCTGCTTGTGATTTAGGATTTCAGAATATTTACATATTCATAATGAGATGTCCGCATTGGGGTCTAAGTCCAAGCATAAAATTTACTTCTTTCATATATACTTTACATAACTTGAAATTTAACATTTAATCTAGAAATGGACAAAAGAACTATTAAAAGAAATGAATTCAGCCAGACATGGTGGCACACGCCTTTAATCCCAGCACTCAGGAGGCAGAGGCAAGCGGATCTCTGTGAGTTCAAGGCCAGCCTGGTCTCCATAGTGAATCCAGGCCATCTGTGGCTACAGAGAGACCCTGTCCCAAAGACCAAAAAAAAGAAATGAAGTCAAGGTTAAAATTAACCCAATGCTAATGCACTGTGATTTCACCACGGGTTTTTTTTCCTTTCTTCCAGGTGCGCTACCCAGAACGCATTACAATATTGAGAGGAAATCATGAAAGCCGACAAATCACCCAAGTCTATGGCTTTTATGACGAATGTCTAAGAAAGTATGGGAATGCCAATGTGTGGAAATATTTTACAGATCTCTTTGATTATCTTCCACTTACAGCTTTAGTAGATGGACAGGTATGTATGTGTGTGATTATGTCTTACTCAGGGAGAGTAAATGTAGGACAAAATTTACTGTTAGGAACTCAAGACCTTTATTTACATAGCTTGTGTTTCTGTGTCTCTTTGGGTGTTTTAGGGTTTGGGTTTTTTTGTTTTTTTAATAATGCTGGAGATAGAACCTAGGGGCCTGGTGCATGCTAGGCTAGTGCCCTACCACTGAGCTACAGACCCAGTGATTTGTTTCATTTTCGTTTGGAGTTTTAGGGGATAGGATTTGTTTATTGTGTTATGGATATAGGATTTCACTAAACTGCTTAGGGGCAAACTAACTCTGTAGCCTAGGCACAGCTTGATTCTGTAATTCTGCCTCACCCTCCTAAATGCTGGGATTATGGGCTTGAGTTACCATGCCCTGTTTTCTTTGACCTTTTCTACCTTTTTCCCTTAGGCTTAAAGTTTCAGAATAAGGAATTTAATTTTTTTTTTTTTTCTGGCCTTTTTGAGATCCACCTGCCTCTGCCTCCCAAGTGCTGGGATTACAGGAGTCCACCACCATACCTGGCTTTTTTTTCCCCTGTCTTTTTAAGACAGGGTCTCCCTGTAGCCTGGGCTGCCCTAGCCTGGGCTGCCCTAGAACTCACTATGTAGACCTTGAACTCACAGAGATCCACCTGCTTCTGCTTCCTAAGTGCTAGAATTAAAGGTATGTACCACCAGCCCAGCTGTTGCAGTATTATTAAAAAACAAAACAGCCAACACATACCACTGCGACAGGTTATCATTTATAAAATGTTATTAACCAAAAACAACCCTTAGAAATTAAGTAGATAAAAGAGGTATACAGAATCTTGGAACAACATGCAGCTTACCTAACAGACATAGGTAAGCATACAACATTCAGTATATTGGTATCCAGGAAACCAGATCTGAATATTGTGTTGTGTGTGCACATGTGTATGTACACTTGTGTGCATGTGGAGGCTAGAGGTTGATGTTAGGTATCTTCCTCAGTTGGCCTACACCTTATCTTATATTTTGAGATAGGTTCTCTCGCTGAACCCGGAGCTCACCTGGCTGGCCAGACAAGCCCCAGGGATCCTCCTGTGTCCACCTCCCTAGCACTGGGATTACATGCATGTGCTGCCATGCCTGGCTTTTTAATAGGTTGACTGCTAGGAATCAAACTTAAGTCGTTATGGTTACATGGCAAGCACTTTACTGGCTGAGCCATCTCCTAAGCCCAAGGCACCCGCCTTTAGTGCCTTTAGTCCCAGCACTAGAGGCAGAGACAGGTGGATCTCTTGAGTTCAAGGCTAGCCTGATCTACATAGTGAATTCTAGGCCAGTGTGGGCTACAAGGAAACCCTGTCTCAAAAAGCCCCCCCCCAACCAAAAACAACCCTCCAGTTACACATTTAATATAACTTCAGTACCAAAACAGATTTGACAAGCACAGAAAGGTAAAATTATACCACAGTTATTGGCAGGGGGGAGTCATATACCCATGATTTAAAACAGAAGAAACATTTTGTACATGATAGTATCAATGGGAGAACTTCTCACTGAAATTTTCATTATTCTCTTTGGTCCAGAATCCACAGAGAATAGTCCTGAAAACAGTTTACAAAACCATAGCAAGGCATGGTGGTACATGCCTTTATTCCTAGCACTTGGGAGTTCAAGCACTATGAGTTCAAGGCCAGCCTGGTCTACAGAGTGAGTCCCAGGCCAGCTGGGGCTACAGGGAGACCCTGTCTCAAAAAACACAAAACAAGAGCTGGAGAAGTAGCTCAGTGGTTAAGAGCACTGGCTGCTCTTACAGAGGACCTGGGTTCTAATCCCAGGACCCACATGGCCGCTAACAACCATCTGTAACTCCAGTTTGAGGGGATCTGATGCCCTCTTCTGACCTCCTTAGGCATTGCACGACACAGGTGCTGGCAGTACACTCATACACAAAAAATAAAAATAAAAAACTAAGAACACTTGTATTAGTTTTGTTTCAGAATTCCTAAACAGTGCACTGTATAGATAGTGAAAGGAATTAAACAGGGGACTAGGAAGATGGCTCAGTAGTTAAAGCACTTGCCTCATAAGTATCAAGACTATAGTTTCCTGGCACCCATGGTCAGCATGGTAGCCACTGTAACCACTACCCCAGAGATGGGATTCCTGGAGCAAGCTGGTTAGCTAGCTGAATCAGGGAACTCTGGGTTCACTTGAGAGACCTTGCCTTGGTGTATAATGTGATCGAGAAGGACACCAGGGCCAGCCTCAGGCCTGCACATACACTTGCACTCACATATGCGACCCTGCATACACATGCACATCATACATACACCAGAAAAATGAATAAATGGAATTAAAGGTGTGTTGGCAAAATGACTCAGCAGGTAAAGTATAAAGAGAGAACTAACTCACCAGGCGAGGTGGCGCATGCCTTTAATCCCAGTACTCGAGAGGCAGAAGCAGGTAGATCTCTGTGAGACCAGCTGGGGCTACAGGGAGACCGTCTCAAAATAAAAAAAGCAAAAAAAAAGAGAGAACCAAGTCTAAAGCTGTCCCCTGACCTTCACGAGTCTCCAGTCATACACAAATTTTTTTTTTTTTTTTGGTCTTCTTGAGATAGGGTCCCCCTATAGCTCCAGCTGGCCTTGAACTCACAGAGATCCCCTGCCTCTGCCTCTGCCTCTGCCTCCGCCTCCCTAGTGCGGGATTAACATTGTGGGCCACCTACCTCCATGTAGTCAATATACTCATACATGTAAAATAAAAATAAATTTAAAAAAAGAAACACTAGGACAGGGGTTAGGATATAGCTCAGTGGTAGAGCATGCAGAAGGCCTCCAGATCCACAGTACTACAAAAAGCAAACAAAAATAGTACTGTAAAATTAAAATATAAGAGAAATATACTCAAATGTTTATGGTTATTTCTAATTTTGGTATTTCATAGATTCTTCAGTTAATAATGCTTTTTTTTAAAAAAGTTGTTAGAGCTCACCCATTACGTTAATTTTGCAATTAGAAAACCAAATATGTTTTATTTTTTAATTTATAACAGATATTCTGCCTTCATGGTGGCCTCTCTCCATCCATAGACACATTGGATCATATAAGAGCCCTGGATCGTTTACAAGAAGTTCCACATGAGGTAAACCTGGTGGCTGTTTTGTTTTTCAAGAAAACATAATCATATCTGGGAACGCTAAATCAGTTAAATATAAATGCTGGAAATCCGTAACATGCACTTCATTTCCCTGACTCTAGGGCCCAATGTGTGATCTGTTATGGTCAGATCCAGATGATCGTGGCGGATGGGGTATTTCACCACGTGGTGCTGGCTACACATTTGGACAAGATATTTCTGAAACATTTAACCATGCCAATGGTCTCACACTGGTTTCTCGTGCTCACCAGCTTGTAATGGAAGTATGTATTTTTCTTTCTCATAGCTTATGTGTCTGTAATAAAGGTTTCGTGACTTTGAATATAGGAAATAATTATCACCAAATGAAAAGAGAAATCTTTATTTACTTTAGCAAATAAGGAAATTACTAGTTCACCAGAGCAGAATTATAACTCAAATCTTAAATGAGACTTAGAGTTAAGTAACTTAAATTCCTAGGTGTAAATATCTTACCTAATATTTGCTTTATTCTCTCTCCTTTCCCTCTAACCACATTTTACTTTCTTATAACCTATCCATTACAGATGACTGTTCTTTTACCCCAAGTCTCCATGTATATTTTTTTTAAAGACATTACCTAATATAACCAAAGTATTGTACGATCAGAAAGTTTTTATGGTATAACCCTATCTGAATTGTCAAATTCCTGTAGTAAAGTTGAATTTCTGCAAGGTGCATAATTTAATCCAAGATCAAGTTACATTCATTCTCCTTTGATGTGGACTTGTTCTTCAGGTTTTCTTTGGGTGGTCTTGACATTTTGGACATTAGTACAAGCAGTTCATTTTATAAGAAATACCAGGGGCTGGAGAAATGGCTCAGCAGTTAAGAGCACTGGCTGCTCTTGCAGAGGATCCAAGTTTGGTTCCCAGCACCCACTCAGAGGCTTACAACCATCCATAACTCCAGTTCCAGGGGATCTGACACCCTCTTCTGACCTCCATGGGCATTGTACCACACAGGTACACTTATATACCTGCAGGCAATATACTCATACACATAAAATAAAAATAATGAAATCTTTCTTTTTAAAAAAATTTTAAAAAGCCGGGCGTGGTATCATGTACCTTTAGTCCCAGCACTTAGGAGTCAGAGGCAGGCAGATCTCTGTGAGTTCAAGGCCAAGATGGTCTACATAGGGAGTTCCAGGCCACCTGGGACTACAGGGAGACCTTGTCTCAAAAAGACAAAAGGGTTGGAGAGAAAAAATTTAAAAAAATATATTTTTTAAAAAAGACAAATTTTTTAAAAAGAAAGTAAGAAATCTATCCCAAGCTAGGCGTGGTGGTACCTACAAATGCCAATATCTGGGTTCATGGGTTTCAGCTCAGTCTAGGATATACAGGAAGATACCTTTTTTTTTTTTCTTTTTTTTTAGTTTTATGTGTATGTGTGTATTGCCTGCATGTAGGTAAGTGCACCCATGTCGTGCAGTGCTCAAGTAGGTTAGAAGAGGCTGTCAGATCCCCTGGGACTGGAGTTACAGACAGTTGTTAGCTGCCATGTGGGTGCTGGGATTCGAACCTGGGTCTTGTGCAAGAACAACCAGTGTTCTTAACCGCTGAGCCATCTCTCCAGCCCCAGGAAGATACTCTTAAATAAAATGTCTTTAATCATGATTTGACTGATGTTTCCTGTGATCATGGACTCAGGACGTGCACTCTTGAAGTGTGCTGTAGAATGGCATGCTCTTGGTGCCATCTTCTGAAGGAGGTTTGAATCTATTTCTACCGTTGCTGATCATACTTGCGGCTTGCTTAGTTAAGGTGATAAATCTGCTGGGTTTCTGCACTGTAACGTTAGTATTGTCACTGCTAACCAATAAAGAGTGGCTGTTAAAGAGATGAGAAAAAACCTTTACCAGCCCAACGCAGACGAAGGAGCAAGCACACACAGCGACAGTAAATCCCGTTAAAAAGGGCTAGAGAGATGGTTCAGCAGGTACAACAGGCAGTTCACAACTGCCTGTTAGGTACAGCCCTAGGAAATCTGATCCCCTCGTCTGACCTACTTGGTCACAAACACACACACACACACACACACAAAATGTTTTTTAAGAATTTTTAATCCTATTATATCAGCAATCGTAAGAAATGTAAACAATGACATTTACATAAGAAAATGTAAATAATGAATAAAAATTTTTAAATGACTAAGATTTTTACTTACCTAAAAGTCTGAGACTCCAAAATTGGAAAATAATCAGATTTTAGCTATTATTTGAAGCAAAACTAAAACACATTTAGTATCACAAATTACAAAGGAATGGAAACAAGTGTGTTGGTGTAGCGAGTAAATAATTACCTAAAATTTAGCCAATAATAGAACTCAGAATAGGCTGCAAGGTAAAAGTTATCATTAGAAATAAATAAAGCAAGGTCATCTGAGGAAAATTGGCCCAGTTCTCTAAGAAGAAAGGATCTTAAGTTGGTATTTACCCAGTAATAGCTTTAAAATATATGAAGCAAAATTGGGAAGCAAGTGCATTCCTATAATCTCAGCACTTGGAGCTGAAGCATGAGGATTGAGAATTTGAGGCTGATGTGGCCTATATAATAAAACTCTGTCTCAAATAAAAAATAAAAAATGACAGTTTGGGGGCTGGAGAGATGGCTCAGCAGAAAGAACACTGGCTGTTCTTGCAGAAGACCCAGATTCGAATCCCAGCATCCACATGGCAGCTAACAACTGTCCATGGTGCCAGTTCCAGGGGATCTGATGGCCTCTTCTGTCCTCCATGGGCATTGCATGACATGGGTGCACTTACATACATGTAGCCAGTACACTCATGCATATAAAAATAATAAAAATTTTTTACATGACAGTTTGAAGGCAGGTGGAGAAATAATTATTTTTGTCTGAGAAGTTTCAGTGTATAAATATCCTAGATCAGATCTTAAGTACAGATTAAGAAAAACCACTGACATGTGTAGTAGAATCTTGACCTAATAGTTGTACAGTGTTCTGTGCAGCTGCAGAACTGTTAGGTCATGAGGAAGCAGAGATGACAACATAGCCACAGGAGGGTTTGTAATTTGAGCTCTTGTGTCAAGATTGGATATTATAATGAAACACTGACCTTTTTTTTTCTAACATTACAGGGATATAATTGGTGCCATGATCGGAATGTGGTCACCATTTTTAGTGCACCCAATTACTGTTACCGTTGTGGGAACCAGGCTGCTATCATGGAATTAGATGATACTTTAAAATATTCTTTGTAAGTAACTTTGCATTTTCATTGTATATACTCACTTTTAGAAAAAAAAAAATGTAGCTATTGAAAACAGGAGTAGGGTGGCAAAATGGCTCAGCAGATAAGAGCTCTTGCTGCTTAATCCTGAGGACCAGGGTTCAGAACCCAGCACCCATGTTGGGTGTATATACCAGTAACTCCAGCTCCAAGGGATCCAGCACCCTCTTCTGGCCTTCACGGGTACTTGCACACAAATGCACACATGCACTTACAGACACATGCATAAACACATACATAAAAATAAGTCTTTTTTAAAAAGAAACCAAAGGTGGTCTTCTGGAAAATGAGGTTGGCAAACTGTTCCACAAAACAAACATTTAATTTTCAGCCTCATACATGCTCATTCATTACTATACCATAGGGCTATATGCCCAGCCCATAAAATGTTTTGTTTTGTATTGAAGTTTTTAGAAACTTTCCCAAGAGCTTACAACCAGTAGAGAAGTTCTTATTTAAGAGAATCTGCTGTCCTCCACTAGAGGCTGTAGTATTACAGCCATGCCACATTCCCCTTACAGAAAGTACTTCAGCTTCTCTGTTCTGGGTAAGTGTGGCCAAGAAGATGGGCTTCTGCTTCCCCACCTACGATGTCACCCCAGAAATCCCCTGTCCTAGTAGGGTTACAGAGGCCCTACTCCTAGATTATGAAGTTAAATACCTGCCTCAGCAGTGCATAGACACTCTGCAGAGAGGCAATCAGAAAGTGCCTCAAACTCTACCTAACCGGGCTTACTGCTTACTGTATTTAGAACAGGGTAACAAGAATTCTAAACCCCTGTACTCTATTTAAAAACAATGGGTGTCACACCTGGCCATGTGATCCCAGCAGTTCTAAAGCCAGCGATAGTTTATATTGAGCTAACGGTGTCCTTTAAAAACTTTTGTTCACTCAGAATATGATATTTGGAAGAAGGATCTTTGTAGGTATAATTAAGATGAGGTCCTAAATCCAGTCTAACTCAGTTTCTATAACTGGAAACACACAAGATGCACCAGAAGAGAAGCTAGGGAGAGTCAGGAAGGTTTCCCCAGGCCTTAGGAGAGAGCATGGCCCAGCTAATATTCAGTTTTTGGTTGGTTGGTTTTGGGGTTTTGTTTTGTTTTTGTCATTTTTGAGCCAGGGTCTCCCTGTAGCCCCAGCTAATCTTCACTTGGGATTAAAGGCGGGTACCACCACATCCAGCCAATACTTATACCATCCATAATTCTAAGAAAATAAATCCTTTTGTCTAAGCCACTCATTTTATGGTAATTTGTCATGGCTGCCCTTGAAATCCAAATTCAACAAAGGGTATGACCCTCACTGGTAGTGAGGGCTTTACTTAATCAAACATGGCAGAAGAGTAAGGTACTCTTACCTTGAAACACCTCTTAGAAAGGCAGGCTTAAAAATAAAACACTTAGTCCAGCATAGTGGCACAGGCCTTTAATTCCAGGACTTTGGGAGGCAGAGGTAGGCAGATCTCTGTGAGATCCAGGCCATCCTGGTCTATATAGTGAGTTCCAGGCCAGCTGTAGCTACAAGAAGCCCTCAGTTTAATAAAAACACTTAAGGCTGGAGATGTGGCTCTGTTAGGTACAGTGTCTAGCATACATGAAGCCCTAGGTTCAAGCCCCAGCACTGTATAAACTGATTGTGGTGATAACACACCTGTAATTCGAACATTTGGGAAGTGGAAACAGGAGGATCAGGAGCTCAAGGCCAGCTAGGGTATATGAGGCTTTGTCTCAAAAAATTTTAATAAGACACTTAGGCCTACAGTCATGAAATCTGTATGTATGCCTACAACTACATCCTTTCAGAACTGTGGAGAAAGAAAATACAAGTTGGATTGATCCCAAAGCCACAGAGTTGGTTCAAAGTGTGAAAAAAATAAGTGTAATAAAAAAATCACATTACTACTAAAAAAACCAAATGATCATTTTAAGAGACCAAAAAAGCATTTGATAAAATTGTTCTTTAAAATAAAAAGACTAGTCACAAAGTACCTGATAGATGTCTATAAAACACCCACCCATAATTTAGTACCATTCTGGTGAAAAACCGAATGCTTATTTCCTAACATCAGAACAAGTGGAACATGTCTTGCTAAGTCCATTCAACTAGTAATAGTGTCACAAGTCTTGTTTGCCAGACACTAAAACACTTTTTTTGAAACAGGGTCTCCTTGTAGCCCCAGCTGTCCAGGAACTCACTATGTAGACCAGGCTGGCCTCGAACACACAAATATCTGCCTGCCTCTGCCTCCCAAGTGCTGGGATTAAAGGCGTGCACCGTCACACACAGCTCACTAAAACACATTGTCTTTTGGAACTTCACCTAGCTCTGTGGAACAGTGACATGCCAGGTCCTTCCAGCCAGCTGGGCTGCCCAGCAGCAGCACAGCCATATCTAGTCAGTGTCTTTCATTTGCTTGATTTGGTTTCTTTTGTCGTTGGCAGTCTTCAGTTTGACCCAGCACCTCGTCGTGGAGAGCCTCATGTTACCCGGCGCACCCCAGACTACTTCCTATAACTTCCTCCCCAGAACACCTTTCTTTGTATGTGGAAGTATACCTGGCTTTTTAAAATATATGTATACATATATATTTAAAACCAACAGTAATCTGTGTTTCTGTAACAAATTGTGATGTCTTGACATTAAACCATATCATGGACCAAAATGTGCCATACTAATGATGAGCATTTAGCACAATTTGAGACTGAAATTTAGTACACTATGTTCTAGATCGACCAGTCACTCTTAACAGTTTGCCTGCTGTATTTGTAGTAACCATTTTTCTCTTGACTGGTTAAGGGTCACTAACTGCTTCATCTCCTTTTGCACTTACTTGGAAATTACTTTAGTCATAATGTTTAACTGGCATGGATAAATGGAGTTTTATTTTTAAGAAAATCCACTAGCTGACTTCCACTTAATTCATTATCCTTTATTTTCTTGGGAGTATGTTGTCATAACATTAAAGAGATTTCCCTTCATTTAAACTAAATTACTGTTTCATGTTGATCTGCATATTTCTGTATATTTGTCATGATAGTGCTTGCATCCTATTTGGTGTACTGAACAAATAAACTTTCTGTTTTAAACAAAAACTGGTATGCTACTTTGAAACTTGGTACAGATAAGTATATCTACTGACTTATGGTTGGTTATTTTTTGTTTGTTTTAGGCTTTCTGAGACAGGAATCATGTAGTCCAGAATGACCTTGAACTCGATCCTTCTGGCTCTATCTCCCAAGTTACAGGTGTGCGTCACCATGTGCAGCCACAAACATATACAATGCAGGTGTGCTGATATAATCTAAAGGGAGTGTTGGAGCTGAGCAAAGTCCAGTGGTAAAGTGCTTGTTGAGCATGCCCTTCAATGCCAAGTAGTGCACACACACAACGTAGTGTTCATTTATACAGCTGTTCAGTAGAACAAAGTCCAAGTATTTGTTGGTTACTTTTAGACCATTAAAAGGCCAGTTTTGGGGGCTAGAGAGATGCACAGCAGTTGGGAACACTGGCTGCTCTTGTGGGAGATCTGGGTTTAGATCCCAGCACCCACATGGCAGCTAACAGCTGTTTGTTAACTCCAGTTCCAGGAGATCTGATACCCTCTTCTGACCTCTGAGGGCATTGCACAACACAGGTGCACTTAGGTACACAGTGAGTGCAGGCAATACATATATATACATAAAGTAAAAAAATATATATTTAAAAAAAAAATAAAGTTAAGCCGGGAGGGGCAAAAGATGTATAAGCCTGAGTGTGAACTTAAATGCACACTCATTATAGCACAACCATAAATGTAGGGTGCTCACTCTTATGTAAATAAACCCCTACCCTGTACTCTGTTAAAAAAATAAATATTTGGGGCTGGAATGATGGCTCAGTGGTTAAGAACACTGTTCCTGCAGAAGACCTGGGTTCAAATCCCACCACCCACACAGCAGCTAACAACTGTCCGTAACTCCAGTCCCAGGGGATCCGACAGCCTCTTCTGACCTCCTTGAGCATTGTATGACATGGGTGCACTTACCTACATGCATACACACATACACGTGTGTGGTGATGCACGCCTTAAATCCCATCATTTGGGAGGCAGAGGCAGGCGGATCTCTGTTAAGTTCAAGGGCAGCCTGGTCTACATAGTGAGTTGCAGGCCAGCTGGGGCTACAGGGAGACCCTGTCTCAAATAGACCAAAAAACTTAGTTAAATTAAAAGCCACTTTTATAAACATTTCATTAGGAAATTTATTAATTTATAATTAAGTACAAAATTTGGATTGTGTGCTATAATTGTAAACTAAATGCAAAGAAGAAACTTTCCAAAAACTGAAGTAGATCTGTTGTCTCCTTTAATGTAGGAATAATGTGGTCTACGTTCAGTAGACATGGTGGAGGTGGTGGTACTGTTCAAAGGCTTAGTATGAACACCAGGTCTTGACTATGTTTCAAATCTAGTATACAATACACACCAAAAGCAGAGTGACGGGAGGCTGGAAATAGAACGATGGAAAGGAAGGCCAGGGTGTAGCTCGGTCTAGGGAGTGTTTGCCAAGCATGCTTGAAGCACCTCATAGGCACAGTGGCTCAAGCCATATGGAGGCGGGAAGATCAGTTCAAGGTCATCCTTCATCCTTGGCTACATAGTGAGTTAGAGGCCAGCCTGGGCTATGTGAGACTGTCTCAAAGCGATGAACCAAGAAGATACCTTAAGACAGAATTTAAGAATATCAGTATGTAACAAAAATAAGAGCTCATATTCCAAATGCATGTACCAAAAACAGCCTCAGTGTATGCTGTGGTTTCAATGTCACTCAAAGTTCATGTTAGAAATTTAGCCCCCACAAAACAGAATGGCCAAGTGGTTAAGGTGCTGGACTTTTAAAACCTTAGTCCTGGCCAGGCGTGGTGGCACAGGCTTTTAATCCCAGCACTCAGGAGGCAGAGGCAGGCAGATCTCTGTGAGTTCAAGGCCAGCCTGGTCCACATAGTGAGTTCCAGGACAGCTGGGGCTACAGGAAGACCCTGTCTCAAAAAGCCCCCAAAAAAACTTAAGTCCCACCCGGCATGGTGGCGCAATGCCTTTAATCCCAGCACTTGGGAGGCAGAGGCAGGCGGATCTCTGAGTTTGAGGCCAACCTGGTCTATATAGCAAATTCCAGGCTAGCTGGGGCTACAGGGAAACCTTGTCTCAAAAAGACCCAAAAAAGAAAAAAAATCCCAATGCAACAGTATTGAGAAGTAGAGACTTTCAAAGGTTAATACGGTGTTTTAAATGAGACTGTCTCCAACAGGCTCCAAGTACTTGGACATTTTGTCTCTAGTGGGTAGTGCTGCTTCAGGAGGCTTTAGGAGGTGAGGCCTTGCTGGAGGAAGCAAGGCATTGGGGGTGGGCTTTGAGCCTTACTGGGTTTCTAGTTGCTCTCTGGTTTGTCTGCCTGCTTGAAGATGTGATCACTTCGTTTTGTGCTGTGGACACCTGCAGCCATGACTCCCCCACCATTATGAACTGTTATTACCCCTGGAGTGATAAGCTCAAATTAACTCTTCCTTCCATAAGCTGTCTTACTTGTGCTGTTTTATCACAGCAACAGAAAAGTAACTATTACAATGAGTGGGGTCATGAAGACTTTGCACTCAAGAAATAGATTACTGTCATGGAAGATCTTGTCTCAAAGAATAAAAGAAGGTAGTGGGGCAGGTTGGTAAGATCACAATACGTTGTATACATACGTGAAATTGTTTTTAAAAGTTTTTTTAAAAAGAATGTAGAAGCCCCAGGTGTGGTGCATGCCTTTAATCCCAGCACTCAGGAGGCAGAGGCAGGTGGATCTCTGTGAGTTCAAGGCCAGCCTGGTCTACATAGTTCCAGGACACCTGGGGCTACAGGGACACCCTGTCTCAGAAAGACCCCAAAAAAAAAAAAAAAGGATGTAGCATAGTGCAGGGCCTTTGCCCTTACCTCGCACATCAAAGGTCCTGGCTTTGATCCATGCATGTACACGTTGAGAACATCCTGGTCTCCCAACCCAACACCCCATTCCTGAGCAAAGGAGCCAGACCAGAACATTGCTCAGGCTATAGACAACTGCTCTATCACTCCACCACTCCCAGCCCCCCTTTTTAAGACTCTTCTATAGGGCTGGAGAGATGGCTCAGTGGTTAAGAACACTGTTCTTGCAGAAGACCCAGGTTCGAATCCCAGCACCACATGGCAGCTAACAACTGTCTGTAACTCAAGCTCCAGGGGATCCAACAAACTCTTCTGTCCTCTGGGGGCACTGCCTGACATAGGTGCACTTACATACATGCAGGCAATACATGCATACACATAAAAATAATGTATTTTTTTTAAAGGCTTCTACAGTGATTTCATTTTAGCTTATCTCTTACTTCACTATAAGCAAAAATAAACCAGGTAGCATTTTCCAGCATTTCCAGCTAAAAATACACTTGGGTAAACAGACATTTCCAGACTTCATTGGCACCATCTTCCTCTTCCCACCTAACTGCTGATGACAGTGCTGCTGAGGTAACTGCCACAAGTCTCCCCTGCAGTTTTAGCAAACCAGAGGTTTTCATCCTGTTTTGTGGCACTTCAGGTTTTGTTTCATTACAGCAGCTCCGTTTACAGGGACCTAAACCTGTACAACACAGATTTTCCATTGCAGTCTCAAAATAGCTGCGACAAACAGACTCAGAAATCCTGAGGCCAAGAATCAGGGTGCATCTTTGCTGGGAGCATCTGGTGATTTACTTTCAAATGTGTATTAAGTCTCCACTGTGTTGTAGGTGCTTCTGGATGGAAAAAGCACAGCCACTGCATTCAATGAATGAATCTATGTAGGAAGACAAAAACACACGGCTATAATAATAAAGTCTATAGAAAAGACAGAGGAGCATTAACTAAGTGAAGGGTAAGTTGACAGGAGTCAGGTGAGCAGACAAGGGAGGAGGGGAGGCTGGAGAGGTGGCTCAGAGGTTATGAGCACCTGCTGCTCTTGCAGAGGACCAGAGTTTGGTTCCCAGCACCCAACTGTCTGCAACCCCGAGCTAAAGGGGCTCTGATGCCCTCTTCTGGACTGGCCTCCATGGCATGCACACCCACGCACATACACAGAAACACAAAAATAAAAATCTTTAAGTGGGAAAAGGTAATGGAATGGCTACAACAGAAAAGCTTTACAGCAGCTAAGAGTTTAAACTCTACTTAGAGTATGCGTGTATCATGCTTAAGGGCAGGAAAAGAAAACGGCTAGACATTCTTTTCTAAAAAATCATTTATGTTTTAATATCCTAATGGCTTTATTTTTCAACTTTCACTTTTTCCCTGCTTCTCAAATCCAGGGCCTTCTGCATGCTAGTCAAATGTTTTGCAACTAAGCTATGTTCCAGAGGCTGGGGTGTAGCTCAGTAAAATAGTTTGTCTAGCATGAATGAAGTCCTAGGTTCAGTTGCTACCACTGCATAAAAAAACTTTGTTCCACCTGGAACTCTGTACATGTTAGGATTTAATACAAGGCAAAATTATGTAAGATCAGTCAACATTAATTCATTTAAAACCTTAAAAAGCTTTGAAATTTCTTTAAAACCTTTACGTTTTCAAAATTAGAATAAACATTCCTACTTAAGAGATTTTGAAGGGTTTAATGGAATTTTGAAATACTGTATGGTAAACTGGATTGAAGAAGTAGAAACCAAAGTCTTAGGCTAAGGGTTTTGTTTTGTTTTTGATAGAGCATTTAACTATGTAACCCCAAGCTGGGCATAGTGGCGCACACCTTTAGTCCCAGCACTTGGGAGGCAGCAGATCTTTGTTACTTCAAGGCCAGCCTGGTCTATATAGTGAGTTCCAGGCCAGCTGGGGCTACAGGGAGACCCTGTCTCAAAAAGACCAAAAAGAAAAAATTAACCACAAAATTCTGTGGTTAGAATCATATGCCACCATGTCTAGCTCTGAGTTTAACACACTGAGAAGTGAGATGGTCAGATGGGTGTCACACTATATATACCCTTTACCTTCTCACTTTGGTACATTATAAAATGGCACAGTCCTCAAATCATTATGCACAGAGCAATCCCTTCTCATTTTTGTGTGGGTACATTCCTATGGACAACAACACTGAAGTATTACTGCCTTAATCTCAGTCAAGGAATGGCATGGTTTTAATGCGAATACTGTCCTGTACAATCATGGCGCAGTCGACTGTAAGTAGAGCAAGGTAGTTCTATATCTGTGCTAGTTGCCCTGCTCTTTCTCTTCCACATTAAGTACAGTATCTGCAGTCACTCCTATGTCCTCCAATGACAAGCCTCCCTCCACTTCCAGAGGCCTTCTAGGGAAGGAAGTGGAAAGGCTGTATAGGGATTTGTGGTACCCAATTTTCATCATCCAGTCAAGTAGGACCTAGAGGAAAGAAAAGCTTAGTATCAAAGACTGTTCACACATCCCTCTACAGTCTAGATCACTGACACTGTACAGTTCTGACATTTTGAAATCATGTCCCTAAGCAGAATGAAAAAGAACTTCCACATCTTTCAAAGGTATTTTTCAGACTTTAAAGGAAAATAGCATGTCATGAATTTGGAGGTAAGAAAACCTTATATATCTTTTGTTCCAGAGAAAGTGTAGGTCTCCTGGCACTTAACAGCAGAGCTACTTAGAAACTGAAAGCCTCGTCCATAAATAGGAGATGGAAAATATTCAGTAATAGTTGAGAACAAAAACATTTGGAGAAAAAATCAGATCAAAATCTAAGCCAACAGAACACATTAAAATTACTTTTAAAACTTTTCAAAACAGACATGTTCAGGTCTCAGACAAAGCCCAATTTACCATGGGCCTCTCCTATAACTGTATAACTGTGTACCATTTCCTGTCAAAAAAGTTATATTCACACGGAGTTCCAACTTGCAGCACAACACACACACGATTCCATAATAACAATAAAAAGTTTCAACCCAATTCTATCTAAAAACACATCTGCCTCAAACCATGAAATTTTAAAGCATATTTTGCTTCAAAAATAAAGGTAAGGTAATTGTGGTACCATACAACTACGGTCCCAGCTACTTGAGAGACTGAGACTGGAGGATTACTGGAGCCCAGGAGTTCGAAACCAGCTCAGGCAACAGTAAGAACTCATGTCTCAAAAAAAAAAAAAAAAAGGTGGATGAATGACAGAATAGTCCCAAGAGAATCGATAGTATCAAATAAAAGAGCCCTTGTCTTAAACCACCATCCAAAAAATATCAATTTTTTAAAATTTTATTTATTTTTATTTTATGTGTATGTATGCATTTCCTGCATGTAGGTAAGTGCGCCTGTGTCGTTCAATGCCTGCAGAGGACAGAAGAGGCCGTCAGATCCCCTGAAACTGGAGTTACGGACAGTTGTTAGCTGCTGTGTGAGTGCTGGGATTCAAACCCAGGTCTTCTGCAAGAACAACCAGTGTTCTTAACTGCTGAGCCATCTCTCCAGCCGTCAATTTTTTATTAATTAAAAAAAAATTTCTAGTCACGCGTTGGTGATGTACACCTCTACTCCCAGCACTCAGGAGACAGGCAGGCGTATCTCTGTGAGTTTGAGGCCAGCTTGGTCTACATAGCAAGTTCCAGGACAGCTGGGGCTACAGGGAGACCTTGTCTCAAAAAAATTTTTTTCAAGAGTCCCTGGAACTGAATCCAAGACTTCACACATGCTGAGCACCAGCTCTCACACCAACCTTACACTCAGCATTATGTCTTCTTGTTTTCTTGAGACAGGATGTCACTGGCTAGCCTCAAATTCCTGCCAGGTGTGGTAGCCACACCTGTAAGCCCAGCACTCAGGAGGCTGATGTAGAAGAATCACATTCTATCATTACATTTTACCTCCAGCTCCAAAATATAAATACATGTTTTAAAATAAGCTGCCAGGTGTGGTGGCTTACGCTGTAATCCCAGCACTTGGGAGGTTGGAACAGATTGCCATAAGTTCCAGGCCAGCCTTGACTACACAGTAAGTTCTAGGCTAGCCTGGGCTAGAGACCCTGTCTCAAAAAGACAAATCATCTTATCCACCAAACTTAAAATGTAATTAAACAACCAAGGGGCGATAGCTCAGTGACAGAACCACTGCCATCCAACATTTCAAGAAAAAGAACCTGGAGAGGAAGATGAGGAGGGAGAGGGGAAGAAGGAATTACAAAAAAAAGGGAAAACAAGATTTTTATGTAGAGATCACAATTCAAAGAAGCTGTCCAGACTTTTGCAGTATAGAATACCCTTAAATTATCCGATTCACTTGATGGGAGCCCTAGGTAACAGCACAGTAATCCTCTCCACTGCATTTGAACAAAGTAGTGCCAAATTGGATTTTTTTTTAATTCTGAAAACACAAATTTTCTCACCTGTGAACTCCAAGATTTAAAAAATCTTCTCCTCAGAACACGCCCACTCGGACATCGAAGAGCAACAGTAACTACCTGAGGGATAAAAAGCTCCAAGTAAGCAGGAGTGGAGGCCATGCCTGTAGTCCACTCCCAAAGCTGAGGGGAGAGGAAGCCAAATTTAAGGTCAGCCTGGGCTACAAAGCAAGCCTTCGTCTTAAAAACAAAGTAAAAAGTTCTGATAAGAATTCCAACATGGGGGCTTGGAGAGATGGCTCATTAGTTAAGAGCACTGGCTGCCCTTGCAGAGGGCCTGGGTTCGATTCCCAGCACCCACATAGCAGCTAACTGTCCATTAAGTCCAGTTCCAGGGAATCCAATGCCCTCTTCTGACCTCTGCAGGCATTGCATGACACAAATGCACTTACGTACATGCAGGCAACACACTCGTACACAAAATAAAAATAATTTTTTAAAAAAGAATTCCAATATGGGCCAGGTGTGGTAGTGCACACCTTTAATCCCAGCACTCAGGAGGCAAAAGCAGGCAGATTTCTGTGAGATTGAGACCAGCCTGGTCTACATAGTGAGTTCCAGGTCAGCTAGGGCTACAGGGAGATGCTGACTCATAAAGACAAAAACAAGAAAAAGATGGGCGGAGGATGTGTCTCAGTTGGTAGAGTGCTTGCCTACCATGCGCAAAGCCCCGAGTTCAATACCCATCACTACATGGTGACAATAAACCTGTAATCCCAGCACTGAGAAGGTAGAGATGAGGATCAGAAGCCCAAGGCTGTCTCAGCTACATAGTGAGTTCAAGACCAGCCTTGAACCTATCTCAAAGGGGGGTAGAAAGGTTGGAGAGAGGGCTCAGTGGGTAAGAGCCCATCCCACTCTGCTCTGCTGAGGATCCAGATTCAGTTCCCAGAACCCACAGGAGGCATGCCGCTCACAGCCACCTGTAAATCCAGTTCCAGGGGATCCAATAACCCTGTCTGACTCCATGGGCAACTGCACACACATGGTGCACATAAACTCAAGCAGGCCCACACACACATAAATGATTTAATGCAGCATCTGGATTGTTCTCTTCAATTGTCTCTGTCTTTGAATGACTTTCAGATTTTCTCCAGAGTACTAAAATATTACAAATGTGTTGACAAAACTGAATCTCTCCAGCTGGGTGTGGTGATGCACACCCGTAGTCCCAGCACTTGGGAGGCAGAGGCAAGCTGATCGCTGTGAGTTCAAGGCCAGCCCGGTCTACATAGAGAGTTGCAGGCCAGCTAGAGCTGTACAGGGAGACCCTGTCTCAAAAATATTAAAAAAAAAAAAAAAAAAAAAACAACCTGAATCTCTCCTAATTATTTTCATGGCTGCCTCAAAAAATGTTTTGTAAGGAGGCTAATGGATGCTGAGCTTCACGAGATGAGACACTTTGGCAGTTCTCTTTCTGGGCATGTAGCCCGATGACTTAATGGCTCTATACATGTATGATTCCTCTGCATCAGACAAGCATCTAACTAAGCTGGCCAATGGCAAGAAGGCAGTTCAGACCCACAAAGTATCAGTCCCGTTGCAGAACAGAAAAAGAGAGCCATTCCTTAAAAATACACAAGTAGCTACAATCTTCCTCTTTAAAGAAATACAATGTGATGCCGTCTGTTTTGATTCTATTTTAATAAGTAGATCGTTGATGATTTAAAGATCTAGAAAAGCCCATCTGTACCCTCTCTCTGCCTGAGGCAGTGGATGGGCTCTAAACTCAGCAGGCAGCCTCTCGCAGAGGCGCTCAGCTGAGGAACCTGATATCATGTCATCCACAACAGACCTAATTCAGTGCATCAGGAAACCTGCCGTCTTCGCCCCAAGCCAAGTGCAGGTGAGACATATTTATCTGATGCTAAACAAAGAAAATGGAGAGTGAGATTTTTTTCAGAGAGGAAAATAAGCTTACTTCTTCAGCTGTGTCACATGGTTCTTCAGGTAAATCAGGAATCTAAAGAAATGTAAAATATTGGTGAAAGAAAGTAAAAACATTTCCAAGAAGCAAAGAAAAAATAAAATCACACAGTTGTGTTGAATACAGTCTACATATATCTAAGCATAGGTCTTTTATTTCGATACACATCTATAGAGAGCTTATTAATATGCCTGGGCAGGTTAAGGCACTTGCAACCAAGCCCAACCTGAGGTTGATCCTTGGGACCCACAGGGTAGGAAAGAACCAACTCCTGCAAAGTTATCCTCTGGCCTCCACATGTGCATGCATGCACACACACACATAATAAATAAACCCAACTTTTAAAAACTTTTAAAAGTGGGGGCTGAAGAGATGGCTCAGCAGTTAAGAGCACTGGTTGCTCTTGCAGAGAATCTGGGTTCAATTCCCAGCACACACATGGGAGCTAACAACTGTCCTAACTCCAAGTTCCATGGGCTCCAACGCCCACTTCTGACATCCTGTAGGCATTGCATGACAGAGGTGCACTTACATACACGCAAACAATATATTCATATGCATAAAATATTTTTAAAAATAAAAAGATAGCCGGGCGTGGTGGCGCATGCCTGTAGTCCCAGCACTTGGGAGGCAGAGGCAAGTGGATATCTGTGAGTTCAAGGCCAGCCTGGTCTACATAGTGAGTTCCAGGACAGCTGGGGCTACAGGGAGACCCTGCTTCAAAAAGACAAAAAAAAAAAAGATAAAAAAATAATCAAAGCTTACAATAAAATCAGAGCAGCTCCCCCTTGAGAAGACCATGCCCACTTTCTCAGATGTGTCTTTTTCTCTGAGTGCCTTTCTCTTAATCCTAGTGCTTAAAATCTCTTACAGTCTCTTGGACCAGCAAGATGGCTTAGCAGGTACAGGCCCTTGCTGCCAAACATAATGACCTGAGTTCAAACTCTGGGGCCCACATGGTGGAAGAAGAACTGGATTCCCACAGGTTGTCCTCAGGTTTCCACACTCACACCATGGTGCACACAGACATACACATACATAAATGTAAACATTTTTAAATCTCTTAAATTCTAATGAGAGAGAGAGAATATGAATGACAGGTCAAGCTGGGGAAGTAGCTCAGTAGTAAAGTGCTTGTCTAGAACGCATATAACCTGTATTCAATCCCCGGCACACCTCCTCAAAATTTCTGCTTTTTTTTTTTTCTGGCTAAAGTCTGCCTTTATTAATTACATGCAACCTAATTTCCGAGACAATTTCAGGAGTTTTCAAAACACCAAGTAAAACATTAAGAAAGTACTTTTTACTACTTTCATGTTATTATTTAAGAATTATTGTTGGGCATGGTGGCACACGCCTGTAATCCCAGCACTTGGGAGGCAGAGGCAGGTGAATCTTTATGAGTTTGAGGCCAGCCTGGTCTACATAGTTAGTTCCAGGACAGCTGGGGCTACAGGGAGACCCTGTCAAAGAAAGACAAAAAGAAAAAGATCTTCAACTTTATTTATAACATGAATATTGTTATAGCTTATAACCAGGTAGGCCAGGCATGGTGGTGCACGCCTTTAGTCCCAGCACTCAGGAGGCAGAGGCTGGTGGAGCTCTGTGAGTTCCAGGCCAGCCTGGTCTATATAGTGAGTTCCAGGGGCTATAGGGAGACCCTGTCTCAAAAACATAAAAAATAAAAAAAATTAAAAAAAGACATTCTAAGATCCTGTGGTAAAAATACACTATTTACAGGGCTAAGGAGCACTGGTTGCTCTTGCAGAGGACTGAGGTTCAGTTCACAGCACCCACATGGTGGCTAATAACTCCATAATTCCAATTCTAAGGGATCTGACACTGTCTTCTGTCCTCCACAGACGTTTCACATACATGGTGCACTTATATGCACGCAGGCAAAACAGTCCTATACATAAAATAAGTAAATAATTATTCTTAAATGCACTACTTAAAGAAACAGGAAAAGTCTTGCATTGTGGTGCATGCTGTAATTCCAGTACCTGGGAAGTGGAGGGACAACGCCTCACCATCACATACAGAATTATCTAAAAACATTGCAAAAACTATCTCAGGTTATGTAAATAACATATGCAGAAAATGAAACTTGTGTTTATATTTGAGTTCTATCCATATAT